TCTCACCATGCCCCAACTCCGACAGAAACTGATAGAAACGGTGGGATATAGCCATATATTAATTTTTCCACATCCATCTGTGGCAAACGCCATTCACGTGAAAATATGACAATCTCACGATGAGCCGGGTGGCATTGGGTATACAACATCTGGCTGAAGCGTAGAGTTGGCACTGTTCTTCTTGGGGTATTAACTACATGCTACGCTGTAGCTAGCAGGCTCTATCAGTCAAGCCCAATGATGCTTCTTCAGACATGAAAGGGGAATTGATCGAGCAGGGATGAAATATACTGGCATCCAACAAAATTTAGATCATATTTCAATGGTAAACTGGAGAGGTTTATCCTTACAACTGCTAGCGGTTCTTCGTGCAGACAGCATCTTTACTGGTACACATTCCATGAGTCGTATGTCATGGGTAAGCTAAATTATCATAGAATAGCCACCAAAGCCAAGGCCATGATCTATGATGTAACGACCATTGCAGATAACGGGTTCTCCAAGGAAGGAGTATCTGTCCGAGAGTATATAACTTTGAAGGTTTCCAACATCCGACTTAGGGTGGGATGTTCCAAGAAACTGGGATCCACGGTAAGAGCCTGGAACTTACACTTGTTAATAATGCTAAAATTCAATGGAAAGGAACATGAAGAACAAGATCTATAAGCTAGACACTGGAACAAGATATTCACTCCAAGATCATTACATCCACGGATGTTCTTGGGAAGTGAAAAGGTTCATTGGCGTTTTCAACAAGATGATGTTCAGGTGTTCAAGATGTTAGAATTTAGTCTCCTCTGATTCTCAATGTAAAGACCCCTAATGCTGCTTTAAGATGGGAAGGTTCTCTGCTTGACAAATCGAAATCACTCTAGCAAGGCTTAACACGATTTATCACTGATGAACTCCATGTTTTTTCACTTTATTAAATTCTACTCACTAACTTCAAATGCTTATCATGGCACTCAATAAAAATATTATTCAGTTAGTAATTAATTGATTAAGTAAATAAATTTTAAAAAATAATAGTATTTTATTTTTAATGTTTTACTTAAATTTTATTAAAACTAAATAAAATTATAATATATAATTAAAAATAAAATTAATTTTTAACTTAGATTAAATAAATATTATATTACATAATTTTAATATTTTTATTTAAATTTATTTATGACTATATTTTACTTTGTTTTAATAATTTAATTTTTTATTAAAAACTTTTAATTATAAATTATATTTTATTATTATTTTTATTAAAAAAATATTATTATATTTTATTTTAATAATTATATTTTTATTAAAAGATAAAAAAATTTAAAAATTATAAAATTTAAATAAGAAAAAAAATATAATTTATTTAAAAAATATTAATAATTAAAAAGTATTTTTTATATTATTATAATTAATTTAATAGTATAATATAATTTCTTAAATACACTTTAATTAAAAATAAATTAATAATTAAGATAAATTATTTAATTATACACTTATTTTTTTTTTTAAAAAAAATTATTTTGAAAGAAGTTATTTATATAAATAAATCAAATAAATTTCTCATTTATAACATTTCAATATCAGTATTAAGCCACCGTAGTGGCTGCATAGTTTGGCAGCCACTAGGCGGCACTTGATGTGAGAAACCAAGAGCCGTGGGTTCAAATCCCAAGGGTACCTTAAATCCGATGAGACAATATTTAAAATCGAGCATGTTGTCTGGTCCTCATCAGATGGCATCTGACTGATAGTAACTACCTTCAGTGCTAAACTAGCTTTGAGTCTACCCCACAGATAAATTGCCACTATTTTTAGATCAAAAAGCATGTATTAGTTATAAGTTTTAGAATTAGTCACATTTTAATACCTCCCCATGGGGATTTTATATAGTTCATTTAGTTTTGTAAGTGTGCTGTTAATACTGGGTTTCTATATATCATTTTATATATGTATTTGACATAATCACTGACTTTATATAAGTATAAGTAGTATTTTTATAATATTATATAAATCTTTTATTTTAACTATATATATTTTAAGCTTATAATTATTTTAATTTTAATTTTATTTAAAATCTTTTCTTTTCAACTTTAATTAAATTAACTTGTAAATTTATTATAAAATTAAAAAAAAAAAAAAATTCTCTTATATTGATATATTATCTATCATTTATATAAAACTTTAGAATATTATTTTTTATTTATATTTTAATCTCTTCTCTTTCAAAAATATTTTTGTTCAAATTTTTAATAAATTTTATTTAAAAAAAAAAAATAACATTCACATGTTTTAAATTTTGTACAGCAAAACTTTCTTTTCTATGGTTTTCAGGACCGTTAACCTGTAGGATGTCGATGGATTGCATTGGAGGGTGTCAGGCCAGATAACTGTTAGGGATCAGGTGACCCCTATGGGATTGTGCTTGTCCTTTGTCCAGTATACGCCTACTGGCGATTATGTCCCTTTTGCCAGGTTAGTCTAACAATAACCAGGTATATCTCACAGGTAACTGACGTGACTGAGCTAGGCTGGGTCGGGGAGGGTACTCCATCACGATCTCACCCAACAATCTAGCGGTCTGATTGCAAGAGCGGTGTCCATTTTTCAATTTTTCTTCAGGTTGGTATCATGGTGAGTGGTTGGTTTCACCGCATCAGAATCAATATGATAACTTCTGACCAGCCTTGGGCATGGCTACAAACAAATGTAACTACAGGTAGTGGCTTCCACACTACAATTCGTTCCTAAATCGGGCATGAACAACAGGACATATCAGTTAACTTAAAGGTGATATATTCTTCCAACTGGCTGCTTTGGGTAGTGTCAAACTGCTTGCGCTTTCGTTGATATTCTTTGCGAGTTTTGAAGTGTCTATCATTCCGGATATTTTTCTTATTTGCTGTATAACAATAAACGACGTATTCTCTTTGCTGATGATACCCTTCTTTTTCCTTCTACCTCTGTTGTCCCTGATGCTCGCCCACCTCGCTTATGGCCCCGGGTCTCGACCTTGCCATGGATTCTGATTTACACCAAAGCAGACAGCTAAGGATATCTCGAAACCACTGCGTTCTTCTGGTGATGGGCTTGGATTTGCTGGCTTTTCTCGTGGGTCAAATTTGCCCGCTGGAGATGGAAGTTCAGGCTGCTGGATGTGCCAGAACGCATTTGATCGAATTGGCCATCCTGTCAAACTTATGATGGAACGGATTATATCCCCATTATTAAAAATATTAAACTACTAATAACCTATCGGGAGAAGCCAATGGAGCCAATAAATTCACGTGGCAAATTTCGTTTGGGAGGTTCGGTTACGCCTTTACACACCTCCATGCTCAAAGCTTTCTGCTTCGCAGGTGTGTACTCATCCCTGGCGTATTGTTTACTTTGTCAGCTCCTTCTCCTCTGCGCTGATGGACCATATATCCCAGGGGAATGGATATGAAGAAGGGCTGCTTGACACATTTGAACAACGTGCGATTGCATTGTTCAGCGACCCAGATTGAACTGACATCCGCAATTGGAGTAGCCACTGAAATAGTTCGACATTATCAGTCCGTTTTCAATTCGCAGCGTTAACATAGATATTCTATGTGTATGAGTGTTCTGTACATTTGACATACTACACGTATTTTCCTGTTGATCTATTAAATCCAGCACTTCACAATCTCCTTGGTGCCTGAAAGTTGTGCTGGTTACATAATGTTACATTTCACAATATATTTGCCATTGGGATGGGCATTGAAGTCAGAGCAGAAAGCAGAAGAAGCTTTTTCATCTTGAAATTGGTTTCTCAGCGGTGTCTCAACAGTATGCTAAAGAGTTAAAAGGGTGATAACAAGCTTATCTAAGATAAACGGAGTGCCAAAACAGAAAATATTCTGAGCCGAAATTGAGGATGGAGCCTGAGTAATTGATGATCCTCGAGTTTATAAAGAATTTTATTTTGCTATGCTTCTCTATATTTTTTATGATGTTGTCTAATTGCTAACGTGTTGGACCGTTGGTGTTTGAAGTAACCGAAATTTCACCCCTTTTTAAACCCCTAAGGGTGTTCGTTATTTCATTCAGGCTTCACAAGATTCCTTGAATGAGCGCTGATGACTCTTTATGGCTGGCCCTTCTATGTCTTCTTTTCTTCTTCGACCTCCCTCATTTACCCGGTTGCTTGCCTCTTTGTTTCTTTCAATTATTAAACCTACGGAATGACAACCCATTGCATCCTCAAAGAGTCGAGTTAGGTCAACACCCACACAAATCTTGCTAATATCTTAAAACTGACCTCTCAAGGGCCGTTCCCGTGGAATATCTGAAGAAATCGTCAATCACCCATCTCCCTGTCAAACATGTTCAAGCACTTGATGACATGCATCTCCAATTTTGTTATCCCCTCAACAGAAGTCACTGTTTGCTCTACCTGTTGCTAGATTGCTGAGTGTTGTTGAGACTGGCGAGTTACAACCATTCTATTGATGGAAGTTTCAGCATCTAGTCCCCTGGGTCAACTTCGGGGCGTACCTGGATAGCTATCTAGGCTGTGCTAAACCCACTCCCAGATGAGCTGTTGTTCATTACACCTGCAGCAAAACTGAGCTGTGGTCAGGCTTGAAGCAGATTTTCTCATAGAGCTAAGTATCGAATGAGGGAAAGAGTAATGAAATCACACCGTCTGGTAGCTGTATATTGTAATGTATGTCGGACCTGTAAATATAATGTACTTCCACCTGGAGAGGAGGGCTTGTGCTCTGTATCACAAGTTCCGCTGTTTTGTATACTTCCACGTACCAACAGGGGTTGAACTCCGAAATACGTTGTCCCTGACTTGAATAATAGAGGGAGAAACGTGTCAATGATGGCAACAAACCAGTTAAGTGTGGGTCCTGTATCTGGCTGCCTTCGACCAGGAAACTATTCCCAATTTCTCTTTGCCTTGTTCTCTTCTTGATTATGCAAACTCGTAAGTCAACGATAGACAAAAATGTACGATTCCCTTACATATGTGGACATCGAACTGGCACTGGGATGTATCTAGGTCCTTTCTACACTTCTTTTTCTAGCTTTAACCGCTCTCAAAGGCGAGAAAACTAATTAGTAGAGTACAAGAGTTTGTGGACTCTCCATACGTCAAATAGCGCAACAAAGCCATTGATATCAATCAGCATTGACGTGAAATGGCTGGTTATCTTCCTACTCTTAATCAGCCTAAACGTAGAAAACACGAGACTCTATTTGAGATATATAGTAAATTAAATATGACGTCTTAGTGTTGTTCAGCCGTAGAATCACATCGATTGGGCGAGAGGAAAGAAGGAAAAACAGATTTTTAACCTCCCAACCTCAAAATTTCCTCTTCGTAATATCCTCCACCAAATCCAGTGTTTCTGGTGTCATAACCCACGAGAGGGGGAAATACATCTCAGCATAGACAACTGCATCTCAGTTATGTCACCAGGCGAAAAGAGACCAGGCATATAGTGTCGGTCTGAATTATAACACTTTACCTAAGTTTCCCCTGCTATTTAGGCTGGAGGATGCCAACGTAGCTACTGTAGAGAAGAGGAGGAGGAAGATGTTGGAGGTGACGGCAATAAGATTGATGAGATGTTCGAATTCAACGTAATTTATGGACCACGCACTTGACGTTTGCTATTATCAAGTAGTTTGAGTTCAGGAACGCCAAACCCAGAGAAACATGTCCATCCCATCGTTCGATAAAGTGAGATGAATTTTAAAGAGTAGATTTTCAGGTGTATGTATGTACATGTATATAAAAGAGGAGGGGGTCTGTGGGTAATATCAAAAGCAACTCTCAGAAAAAAGCAGTCATGAACTTCAGCAGGGGATAAACCAAGCGAAATTTGGTCTCAGACTCAATTTTAAAAGACAAGTATATATCGATGTCGCTTTGCTTCCGAAAATGGGTGAACTATTCTAGAAGAGAAAGGTTTTTTTTTTTTTTTTTTTGGGATTTACGAGTCAATTTGCCCCATGTTCATCGTGACTGGCATCCCTCCGCCTGGAGTTGCGTAATTTCGATGAATAAATTATTCGTCATCATATCCCTTCGGGATTTGTCGTGGACCGGGAGGAACTAAACAAGCAGAAGGAAAGAGAGTGTGTTAGTTGTTTGTTCACAACTCAGTGTACCAAAGGCACCCAAAGTTCAGGGCGTTCTCTAAAGCCGAAAACACACGAAGGCATCAAAGAAGCAATCAAATAGAAAGCAAAAAGAAATAAAGGATATAAATCATCACAATCCAACATAAACTTAAGACATACTTGGATAAGTCATTGGAATTGGCGGGGGATCCACGTCTCCTAAATACCGTCGGATAGGCGGGAGGGTAAAGAGAGCAACAGGTCCCAGAGAGCCCAATACGATGCTGAAGAAAATTGCGGGCTTCTCATGCGCTGCCCATCGCATGTATCGGAAGGGTGTGGACCAGAAGTGTGGTGCAGACATGGTGGATGCCGGTTCTTAAAGCTTGGGATGTGGGTTGGCGGAAAGCTCAATTGGGTGACTTATGGTACGGAGCGGAGGACGCTAGTTTGTTTCGTATGGTGTGGCCGCCTAATGCAAAGCTGCATTGGGTGAGACGTGGGTATAGCTGGAGGTTATTGAGTAGAGTAGAAGTTGAAACTTGAAGTTAGGGATGACTGGTTGCTTACCCTTAAGGTTAGGTTGATTGGAGGAAGGTTTGAGGTCTTGGCATTTTTCCGGATCAACCACGTCGCTTGTTCGCCGAGCAAACTACAGAGATGAACAGCCAGACATCGGAGCAGAGGGAGATATACACAGCACTTCCATGAGGAATTGAAAAGTCTATTGAATTTAGACATAGCTGTCTCCTCTGATACTCTCTCCCTTTGTCCTCCTTCCCGTGTGGGCCGACTCAATATCAACTATGCGGTGGCTTCTATCTCTACTGCTCTTAGGCCTCTGGGGAGCTGTTGTCCATGCGCTCAGTAGCTCCGGAAATCGACTGCTCGCCATTCTAGAAAATAGTGCGGAAAAGGATTTGTTCTCGTCCTTCTGGGAGGATTTGAAAGGTATGTTTCTATTTTAAATAAGAAATATTGTGGATTGGTTTTCTATGTTTCCATATTATATCAAGTCGTAAATATAGACTCACCACCATAAAAAAAATAAAAAAAATAAAAAAAAAGGTCGCGGATATTCGATAACATTTAAGTCGCCCAAGGACGAGAGCCTTTCACTTTTCAAACATGGAGAGAGAGCTTATGACCATCTTATCATCTTCTCTCCAAAGTCAAAAGGTTAGTGCGGTTACCATTACAGTTGCGACGGGATGGGATCGGAACTAAGCTTTCGGTGCATCTATAGGACTCGGTCCCGCATTAACGCCCAAAGTTCTCCTCAACTTCATTAACAAGGAAGGAAACATTCTCGTCGCCCTCTCGGGTGGCTCAGCAGTCCCCAGCGCACTCAACTCCCTCCTGCTCGAGCTCGAAATCACCCTCCCCGCTAACCGCAATGCCCTTGTCGTCGACCACTTCAACTATGACACCCTCTCCTCACCCGAGCAACATGACGTCCTTCTCCTCCCACAACCGCAGCCACTCCGTCCAGATCTTAAATCCTACTTCTCCGGCGAAGGAGTCGTCGCTTTTCCTAAGGCTGCTGGCCAGACCTTGGGAACTGCGAGTCCGCTACTTGTCCCCATCCTTCGAGCTCCGGCGACGGCATATAGCTACGATACGAAAGACCAGGCGCAAACGGTTGAGGATTCATTTGCGTTTGGTTCGCAGATTTCGTTGGTTTCAGCAATGCAGGCCAGAAATTCGGCTCGGTTGACGGTGCTGGGGTCCGTGGAGAGTCTTGAGGACAAGTGGTTCTCTGCGAGCGTTAAGGGTTTGAAAGATAGGAAGGAGACGCGGACAGTCAACAGGCAGTTTGCGGAGCAAATTAGTGCCTGGACATTCAAGGAGACTGGTGTGGTTAAAGTTGGTAAAGTCCAGCATTATTTGAGAACTGATGCGGTTGGCGAGTTGGCTCCTTCGAATAATTCTGGGAAACTCAACCCTTCCATATACCGGATAAAGAATGATGTGGTAGGTTTATATATATATATATATAAGGTCCATAGGCTTTTTGATCTATATTCGCAAATAGTGACACTTGATGCGCGCCAGACATATAACATTGAGCTCTCCGAATACGACCACGACCGCTACATCCCCTTCGAAACCTCAGACAACGACGCCGTCCAACTCGAATTCACTATGCTCTCACCCTTCCACCGCCTCAATCTCAAACCCATCGCGAAAAACGCAAACAGCACCATATACAGCACCTCATTCACCCTCCCTGACCAGCATGGTATCTTTTCTTTCCGCGTTAACTACAAACGGCCTTTTCTCACCAACGTCGATGTGAAGGAGGAAGTCACTGTTCGGCATTTTGCTCATGATGAGTGGCCACGGAGCTGGAGGATTACAGGAGGATGGGTTTGGATTGCTGGTTTGTGGTCAGTTATTGGTGGCTTTTTGGCCTTCGTTGCTGTATGGTTGTACTCAGCACCTCCAAAATCAGAGGAAAGAAGGTCTAAGAAGGCGCAATAAGTGGGCGTGTGTGCATGTAATTGTAATGTACGGAATTTGTGTTTCAATGGTTTCCAAGTTTCTTTCTTTGCTCTCTGGTCTCTTTGGGATTTTCAAATCGCGGAGAGATTCCCTTCAGGCCATATTTTTTTTTTTTTAAAAAAAAAAAAAATATTTAAATGTTGTAACCTTATCTGTATGTTTTCTATTGTTTCTCATGTTTTCCAAGCATTTTACTTGCAGGCCAATAAAAAAAATAGAAGAGTTTGTATTTCTATTGAGACGGTGTCAACCCGTGCATGTAGTTTACCCTTCCTGTAGTTAGTTGGAAATGAGCTACAACTCGACAAAACATAAAACGTTCCAGTACCAACCCATGATACTAAAATGAATCTCTTACAGAGAAGAGGAAATGTTCTATTCTTTACATCGTAGCTGCCGGCGGTCAAATCGGCTCACCACAAATCAAGGAAAAAATGCCCAAACTCCAACGCCCAAACATAAATCCGGGAAATAACAACGCTGTCTGTGCATGGCACGATAGATCGCACCCACCCATATCACATGCATCATCAGAGATACCATATAGTCCCTCCAATCCGTTCTCTTCCTCCCCCGTTATCTACAGCCCCCTCGTCTTCTCTGGATCCATCTGCACCTCATCACCATTAATCTCCTTGACATTTTGAAACGCTGGCTTGCCCGCATACAGCTGTTTAACCGGCTTTCTTTTACTAATAACCTCGCCTGTTTTGGGATCGACTTCACTCCCCAATGCGATGGGTTGGTTGCCGCGGAACCGCTTGCGCATATCTACCATTCCCCGTCTGTATTGGTTTTCCGACATGGGCCGGTTAGTTAACGGCACAATTTTGACTGCTAAAGTGGAATATGAGGGATAACAGGGAGTTTTCAACGCACTTGCATTCACTGAGGCCTTTGCGCAATTGTTGGCATTTCACGGGTAGCTCATCGAGGTGCGGGGGTCTGAGGCATTCTTGCGGTGTTTTCTGTTGAACTAATATGCAGTCGGATTGTTGGAGGCACTGTGCCAGGGCGAGCCCTAGTTGGGAAAAACTTAGCAGGCACAGTTAAATACGTTTGAGAGGAAGCGGGGGCACCGGGAATTGGATAGGCACTTGGGCGCTGAATGATATGTCGAAGGCATCTAAGATGGCGAAGGGCCATGGACTTACGGATATCTTTGCAGGAGCTGGGCATTATTATTATAATGATATTTTGTCTATTTATCTCTTCCAACACAATCTATGGCCGCACGAGATATGTAGCAAAAGAATAAAAATCAAACAATTGCCGGTAAAACCAGTTCTCGCATAAAACAATGCGGAAGATGTCCAGGGAATAAAATGATTTTAAATGTTCGGAGACTTGAGATATGTCACTTTGGCGCTAAACTATATATAGTTAGACATAATCCCGCACCTGACTTTTCCCTTTTGAGCTCTGTGGCATATGATTTGTGGCTCGTTTCCAACAATGACGTCGCTAGACGTTTAAAGCCGACTTCGAACTTCCAACATCGTTTTATTTTTTCTTTCTTTTTTGACTTGTTTGGTTGATGATAATGTGTTTCCTTGTGCTCGATTGATTTATTTCGGGAGTTTGGGATATGGCGCCATTCATAGGGAGGCTGTTCTGGTAAGTGTCTCTTTACTCTGTTTTTGACAAACGAAACTTTCTATCTCGCCGTTATCGCCAAAGGGGAAATTCTATATGGTTGATCCCTGTTTTATTAGACAAGGAGATAACGAGGAGACATTTAACTATGTTTTAACGGATTTTAATGGCGTCTGGCTGTGCTCAGGAATGAGTATCTTGCTCTGTTTACCTCCCTTGTATTAATTTCCATCGAAGGACTCCTACACGTCATCACATTCTGCCTCCGTAAGTCCTTCCATTGACATCGTCTCTCGCAGCGAGTGTGTGGAAGAGCTGATCTGATATTTCTGCAGCCCAACCCATAATACAATTCCTCTATCGGCAATCCAAACGCCTTTTCAAAGTGTTATCCTCGCCGCAAGGACGTCTAATCCGAGCTAGGCGCGCCACTACGTCAGGAACGATAGCTCGAGCGTCAGACTTTCTCGAACTGTGCGCGCTCTGGGGCTACGAGGCGGAAGAGCACATCGTACAGACAGGCGATGGCTACCTTCTCGGTTTGCATAGATTGCCACGGAAGAGAGGGGAGCCTTTCTTCAAAGTCAACGCCGGGGAGGGGACCCCTTATAAACCAGTTGTTTATCTGCATCATGGGCTTCTCATGAACAGTGAAGTATGGGTCTGCCTGACAAACGAAGAACGATGCCTTCCATTCCGGCTTGTTGAGCAGGGGTATGATGTGTGGCTGGGGAATAATAGGGGTAACAAATATTCGAAGAAATGCATATCTCAGGCACCAGCATCGACAGCTTTCTGGAATTTTTCCATGGACCAATTTGCTTTCCACGATATCCCTGATAGCATCGAGTACATATTATCCGTCACTTCACAAAAATCATTATCGTATATAGGCTTCTCCCAAGGGACAGCCCAAGCATTTGCAACACTCTCTATCCACCCCACACTCAACCAGAAGATCAATCTATTCATTGCACTGGCCCCAGCAATGTCTCCTGCTGGACTTTCAAACGGGGTCGTTGACGCCCTCATGAAAGCATCCCCAGACGTTCTCTTTTTAGCATTTGGACGCCGAAGCATCCTCAGCTCCACACCCATGTGGCAAACTATTCTCTACCCACCTATTTTTGTCCGCATCATTGACTTGTCTCTCTTGTTCCTATTCAACTGGACTGGTATCAATATCAATAGCGAACAGAAACTAGCAGCGTATCCCCATCTCTATTCGTTCACGAGCACCAAATCGGTTGTGCACTGGTTCCAGATCATTCGAAACAAAAGTTTCCAGATGTATGACGACGACGCAGGCACCTTCATCAATATAAATAATAAGAACCGTTATTACAAGCCCGCCAAATTTCCTACTAAAAATATCAAAACACCCATTGTCCTCGTTTACGGGTGTCAGGATAGTTTAGTGGACATCGATGTTATGTTGGACGAGCTACCAAGCCATACAGTCGCAACGCCAATTCGGCATTACGAGCATCTCGATTTCCTATGGGCAAAAGACGTAGCCGATCAGGTGTTCCCTCACATCTTCGACGCTCTGGAGTCATATGGCCTCGTTCATACGCGCTGGTCAGCCGGGGACCCAAACTACCTCGTGAAGGAAGATGCTTCTGATCTTCATCAGAAAGAGAACGACGTCCCACTAAGTCCTCAACAACCACAGTTCCCTCCCAAGCAGGCCCAAACCGTGGCATCGGAGCAACTTTCTAATTCTCCAAACCTACCCTCTTATTCTGACGACGAGAGAGCGATGTTAATCAATGGTGTTTGAAAGAAGGCTTTCGATTACAAAATATTGCCTCCCTCCTTTGTGTACCATGTTGTTATTCAGCGTTCATTCCATGGTTTACCCACTACACCTAGATATCTTCTCAAAACAAGAGCAACATAACTTCCCCCAATTGGGGGTTGCCAATGAGGTGTTCTATAAAGGGCTTTTCCTCGTCAAAGCCATATACATACGATTCATGAAAACTATAATGTTTGAATGTATTGAAGAATATTTTTCTCGACAGCTATTTCCCTCTACATACCTTCAGCTTCTGATCAAACTCTGGTAATCCTGCAGAGTCTGGACCCAAACTTTAAGAATTGGGACACATTAGATACCCGCACGCGGATGGTTTTAGTTCTATTTTGTTACCCTCAAATGATCAGGAGCTAAAGAGCTGAAAAGCCCGTCACTATATCTTGTGACATCGGTTAATCACAAGATTCACTGTGTGGAATTTTTAATGTATAAGCGATGTTTCCTACTAAAGATGATGAGCGTTCTTTTCATTTGCTTATATATGATTTATACGATTAAACACTTGCTCGGATCTGTTCAACCGGATCCGGTCAGATTAATCGTAGGATTCGTCTTTCTGGATTAGTTAGTTAATAAGATCTTTGAACCCGAATCATTTGACAAACCGTATGTCCAACGGCGCTGATTGCTGTTCCGAAAATGGATAAAATTTTCTTCCCCCCCCCCCCCCCCCCGCCCTTTTTGTCGCGTAAATTCATCATGGAGCTAAACAAATAGAAATTCCTGATATTAAGTAAATTTGAAAGACACATCTAACATTCGTCTCTCTCATATATCGTTTTAAGGGATAGAAATCATCAAATCGGATACGGATTATCTATCCAGCAAATGAATCACATCCTTCTTGCTCGTGAGTAATTAGGTTTGCAACAAGGAGGATTAACAACACAGATGGGAAAAAGGCACACCTTTCTAGTGGAGAAAACCCAAGTAATCGCATGCCATTTTCAAGCACTTGACGGGCGCCCTCGCATAGGGCTAAGTGAACTAACATAACCTCAGGCCCTACGTTTGCTCCCAGAACTTTGACCACTTCGTACGCAGAAGACACTTGATGTGTATGTCGGAAGAGATACGTCAGAACAGTTGTTGGTTCCAAAGTCTTAAAGGCCTGGCTTGTCATATCGGGGAATCGAGCCACAAGACGAAGAATATCAATGGCGTGAGGCTCCTTGAGTAACGAGAAATCGGCCTTCGCAACGTCGTCTGCGGTTAGTTTCGCTTTTCGCATGATCGAGCAAAGCCTCGCGTGTGAGTATTGCAGGAAGGGTCCTGTATCGTCTTCGAATGAAGTCATTCTGGTAACGTCAAAGGTATAGTTATTAATCCTTTTTCCACTCATATCTTGAGCCACAACTGCAGTTATACCGACGATGTCTGCCACGGTTTCAGGATCCTCAACTTGGGCATACTTGGCCTCGTTGGCCCGCATAACTTCGTGCATGCAATTGCCACACTTATCCAAAATATCACTGAGTAGTTTCACGGCCCCAAGTTGCGATGTCATCCCTTGAACTTTGCCGAAATTGATATGAACAAGCTTAGACGCAATTTCAGGGTAGCCTAGGATTTCCACAGTCTTGAAGACACGCTGGAAGTACGTATCCTGTTCAGCAGCAACGACATATATCATCTTGTCAAATTCGTACTTTTCCGCCCGCTCTAGAACAGTGGCGATGTCGCGAAGAAGATAGGTTGACGTTCCGCCTCGGTTCCGGACAATTGCAATATCAAGCTTGCGAGCTCCGTGCTTTTTGAAATCAATGATCCACGATCCTTGGTTTTCTTCGTAGATTCCTTTCTCCTTTAGAATCCTTTCAACTTTCTCAACGGTTTCAGGTCTCACGGTCGATTCCCCTGAGTACTCATCAAAAGCAATATTCAACCGCGCATAGGTAGAGATGTACCGTTCGATACTGATATCCCGGAATCGCTTCCACAATCTGAGCGCTGCCGGCTCTCTATCCTCCATTCTCTTGAAAAATGCATTCCGTTCAGCATTAATTCCCTTGCTCTCTATTTCTGAGGTGTCCTCACTATTTTCTCTGGCGTTCTTGCTTGCTTCTTTTTCCGGATTAAACAAGGCATTAATCTTTGCATATACATCAAGCAGATGTTTCAGCGGTTCCTTCTGGAACAGTTCTTCAGAGCCAAATTTCTGCCAACCAACAGCAAGCAGCCCGAACTGCTTTCCCCAATCACCGAGATAGTTTATCTTGAGAACGTCCCAGCCCATGCTTCCGTAGAGGTTCGAGATATGAGCACCAATGATTGTACTGCGCAGATGACCTGCATGGAACTCTTGCGCGATGTTTGGTGACGAAAACTCCACAATTACTTTCTTTCGGCCAGCCGCCTCATTCTTTGCGTCTCTCAATCCAGTAAACCTATCCTGACCATATAAATGTCGACGATCGAAAATATACGGCAGGATGAGGCGGGGTAGAATAGTTTCATTGAAATGTATGGGAATGAAGACACTTTTGGAGCTGGGGCAAGAAATGAGTGGCAGTGCAAACAACTGCGGCTCGTGTTAATTTTTTGCAGCATGGTTCTAATGATAATTAATGCCCTAAGGAAGAGACTTGGAAGGCAAAATATCGTTGAATTGTACCTTCGATGACAGGTAGGCGGCGACCTGACCTATATTGTCGCCTTTCAGACGAAGGCGCGCAGCAATCAGGGCCACATCGCCATGTGCCAACACCTGTGTCCGTTGAATTGCATTGAAGGCAATGTCCTCCCCACACCCCACTGCCTGCTTCACGACATCAGCAACATAGCATCGGTATATGTCGATCGGATTGACCACGACATTCGCGGCGGAAAATGCAGGGATAGGAACTGTCAATCCCAAACTCTGTAGGAGAGTCTCCAGGCCCCTGATTGTGAGAGATCCCATGTTGGGCAGCAAATTTTAACTCTTGACGTTTGTAATTTGAAATGGATGTGTGAGACAGAATCCCGGGTTCTGAGTTTATACAAGGCTGAAAACCTGGTCCCATCCTTCGCATATTATTTATGATAGAAGGACAAGTCCTGCAGGAGTGAGTCATAAAATCCACGATCGACATGGCAAGACGGCCTCGATCATGACAGGGATATATGTGTGTATAGCCTGCAGCACAATGAGAGCAGTGTGAAGCCATCAATTGAATGGTATGTTCGCATATATATGCTACTGACAGGAGGACGAACTCATTAAACAAAGCGTTGTTTGTTAGTGTTGATTATTTAAACAAATTTTAGTGCCATCGGTTAAATACTTAGTTAATATTTACTTTTAAGTGGAGAAGGTTTACTTTTCCTGATTCTTCGATCCACCCATTGGCGCGAATATATAACTATATCACAGAAGTGCGGGCAAAACTATGAAAAGGTTGACATGGTCAGGCTCTCTGCGAGGGCGGCAGACGCCCCGGTTCAAGTATTACCTTGCTGAAGCCAATACCATTGCGGCTAGAGAAGAACATTTTGTGAGAACGCCGTTCTGTTGAAATATGTATTGCTCATAAAATCCTGTTCCCTCAAGACTCCAAACATGGAACAGATACATGAAAAGGACCTTCTCGATGCTGAGATGGCAAGCTTTACTTTTGCTTGAAGAGAGCAATGGAAGTCCAGGAGCCTGCTGCTGCTGCTGCTGCTGCTGCTGCGGAAGAGTAGTTAACAAGTCTGTTGTGCATCACAGAAGAGACAGTTGAGAATAAGATCAAACCTCCGAGTGTGCAGAGTATCGAACGAAGATAGAAGATAAACAGTTCTCTCATTTCCGCGAGAACATAGCCATGCATCACTACCTAGGTATGTATATGTAACAACAAAAACCGACCTGAAAAGAAAAAAAAAGGTCTACCATAAATAAACATTGCTTCTAACATTCTAGAGTGTTACCCACACCCAAACAAACACCATGGACCAAGTCCTGGTCAAAAGATGGTCGCCAACTCCCAGTCCAGCAAAATGCACAACCAAATGATCCGCGTAAACAAGAAACTGAAAAAGAATAACCCGCGAGTTAAATAATTGAAAACATTTCTGTAGATCGAATGGAGTAACGCCTTCCCCAATGCACTATCTATATGGAACATCAATAACCTCTCCTTCTAATGAAACAGGTAAACCAAACGCCCACCCGATGCAGTCCCAAGATTATATACAAGAGGCAAAACGATGGCTTTGACATGGTAGCACGAAGATGACAGCAAACAAACTAAAGTCCAGAGGCACATATCTCATTATTGGACATAACACAAAGGGTCCCCACATAACCAGAAGAGAGGCTCATGAGGGGGTGATTAGAATAGTAGGGCAACTTGGCAAAAAAAAAGGAAAAAGAAGTATGTAAAGTACAAAGGGAAGTGATATCGCAAAATAACGCTTAAAATATGAGCAACATTTCTTTTGCCCATAAAAGGCAATTCACAAAACAGCATCACCCTTTCTAAGGGATCATTTGGGGGTCCAGGATGATACGGAAACGCATAAAAGGACATTTCAACGTAATTTTCTAGCGACAATACCGTTATGGCCAGGAAAATTGCACTAAATGTGGTAAGTTTGGACAATGAAGATTGCATTGTGTTCCAAAGGTTCTCCGATTCCAAGAGGCTGGCTGTATTAAAAAATTGGGAAGAATATCTCATGGTGAAATTGAGACCAAGGAATTGAGCAACAACAAGGTTTCAAAGACCGCTGGTGTGGCAGAGCTGTGAGTTTTGTAGAACAAAGCTTTCTCCATACTGTCAAGAATCACTTATTGGCGCCATCGAATTGTCCACTTACACTGGTTGACAAACAGTGTACTAATTTGGATGTCGGACAGGGTTGGCGCTTGACGGTATAAAGAATTAACGAGCCCGTCTAAGTGGGGGGAGCACACTCGCACGATAGCTGGGATCGGATGGGAGCCTAGAGTCTACGACCGGCGCCCGTTCCGAAACAGAAATTGGAGTGTAGCCAATACCCGCTGAAACTGGCGGAGGATAATCGGCTTCGTTCTCAAAACCTGGGCCAGGGTACCTCGGATTTGCCCTTGGGTCATTATACACAGAGACCCCGGCAGAACCCTCATATACATAGTCAGGACTGCTCACAGGCGGCTGCGTGTGAGCGGCGAAGTTCCCGACTACTGGGGCATATGAAGCGGGAATTGAACCATATGTTGTGGCAGTGGAAAACACTGCCGGATACGGTGGGCTATTTGAACCGTATTGGCTGTGCATGGCAGGGGGATAGGTGTCGTATGACTGGGATGAGCCGGAAGGATAGGCTGCTGTATGTCCGGCTTGCTGACGCCTTTCGAAAGGTGCAGAACTGGAGTACGGAAATTCTACTAAAATGATTGTTAGAGTTTGATAATAAAAGGTGAGCTGGGGTATCGTCAACTACCTGGAGGGCTGGCATTCAAAGGATGTCCCCTCGCAGCCTCCTCCCGCTCTCTCTCCCTCTCCCTTTCCCTTTCCCTCTCCCTCTCCCTCTCCCTCTCCCTCTCTCTTTCCCTCTCTCTCTCTTTTTCCCTGTCAGCTTCCCATCGTGAGGAATCGACCTTTAGATCAGCAATCATTTCCTGTTCAAAAATCGCAAACGTCAGCTTTGGTTATCTAGCAATGCCGCATTTTGGCGAACAACAGCGATTTCTTTAGGGGGAAATGACATACGGGTGTGAGGTTGCGATAGGCACGAATATAAAAACCTTGTCGACCCTATTAATAATAGGTCAGCATATTCAAACCCGGTAAGCATAACCACATAGAAAAGGTCAGCAACGGATCATGGTGATATAAGGGGGAAGTCGGACCTGGTGAGTTCCCGGTTTTACAAGAGCTTGATTGCCAAGGTAACGGCAAATATCAGACTGGATAACTTCGCGAGCAATGCCATTTTTTTCAATGAAGTACTCGTTTTGTCGTTCAGGGGGTTCATCTATTCTTCCATGAATGCGAGACATGTTGGCCAACAGATTACGGCAAAAGCTGTCTTAAAAACGAACAATAAAATATTGCAGAACAAACGACGCTACCACAGATGATTGCAGAATGTTGTGAACCCTCTTGGGCTGAGAGTAGGCTGAGGAAAGTCCAAGTGGAGCAAGAATCCTGAGGCTAGAGACGGCAGATTTGCTGATGTTGGTGTTTGCTGAGTGCGATGGTGGGAGGGGGTTTGTCTTTCTTAGGCTAGAGGCTGACTGATCCTGAGGTAATCTGGAATGTTGAAGAGAAGAGTAGAAAGAGAATATAGCTTTAGAAAACTATTATGTTCCGTGGGGTGGGATGGCCTTATCCTTTTTAAGCCTGGTAAATGGTCCTTATATCCTGGATGGCAGTGGATGAGTGGCGTTTATTCCCGCAACGCAGATGTGACCAAGACACACAAACAAACCTTTTTTTTTAATTTAATTTTTATGTTTTCTTTTTGTTTTTCAATCACAAACCCCTTCAAATGCGAAAAAAGCACTTTTTTCAAATCAGGGTTCAGAAGTGATGTTGAGGAACCGAGGAAGCCGGGCAGCTGACAATAATCCGGACTTGAGATTAGGCACGTAGAAGTTTCCAAGGGTATATATCATAAAATCCAAGGGCGAGAATCAGATGAATCTCGGAAGGGCAACGTTATGCAAGCAAGTGCCCGATTGTGGAAACTCTGAAGAGAAGGTCGTTTTGACAACGAAGAGGAGACCTGGGAAGGAATACCAGGCGGCTTGCAAAAGGGTCACAGCAGGCAGAGAGATTTAGGGGCAGAGACGGTGATTATTTAGGCTTGATGGACGAGTGAGTAACTGCAAGTACAGGAGAAGCACAAGATATAAGGTATATATATATATATAAGTGAGATATGTGTGAGAGTAGAATCAAAAGAACAGATGGCAATAACGGTCGGGCTTATTGTTTTATGCGGTTTGAAATGGGGGGCTCAACAGGCCTGGTCATGGGAGACAGGAGGCCGAGCGAGTGATGGGAGGGGCAATAATCGCCTCCTTTATATTAACAGGGGTTTTGATACACGTGAGAATGGGAAGAAGAACAAGAGAGTGAAGGAAGAAGAGAGGAAGCAGTGCAAGAGGAAGAGGAGCGAGGGAAGAAAGGAGGATGAGGAGGAGGAGAAGAAGAAGAAGAAGAAGAAGAAGAAGAAGAAGAAGAAAAAGACGAGAAGATGAGAGAAAAGAGGGAATGCAGAGAGCTTATGAAGAAAACCCAGGGGACCAGGTTGTCCAGAGGAACAGGCGAGGCTGCCAGAGAGGGAGGGGGCAACGGGGCACTCCGCTAGCCCAATCTCTATCTCTGCTGCTGTTGGTCGGTCTGTTGGTGCCACGATTTTAATTTTGATGCTGATGCCGAGTCGGCTGCCGCGCTGCTAGCGATTGCTCCGGCTGCCTTGTAGGTAATTTTATGCAATAATGCCTGCCCAATTCCTGCCACTGCACACACACACACACACACACACACACACACACACACACACACACACAGCATTGGGCCTGTGCCAGATGGATGGATCTTCTCAATGTACAGCGCTCGCAGTGCCTTCATTCCAATCAGCTCGCTCTTCCTGCCACTCTCCGAGACTCCGACCAAGAACGAGTGGTGAAAGCAAAGATGTTTGTTGCATCTCCAATCTCAATAATGAAAAATGTTGTTAAATGCTGTATCCATCAGTCTTCCCTTTTTTAACCTCGGGACAACTTCTTGCATTCCTCGCCCATTATTGGATCGGGGTACCCAACCCATATCGATTTTCCAAACGACAATGATAATGAATGAATGAAAAATCCAACGCCAGAACAAAAAATGAATCTGTGGAGCCCCAATCCATCTGATCCTATCAACAGACGTTAAACGTACAGAGGAGGATGTGGGTGCCGGGCTGGCTTTCCTTGTAGTTATTCGTTTACTGTGCTCTATGCTCTGCAGATGTGGTGCCATGGGGATGCTCGTCATGTCAGTCTCAGCCAGCAGTCATGTCTTTCCCACTGTTTACGCACAACATTCTACAGGTTCTCAAACCATACGATTATCCCCATACCATACACTACCTGGTTAGGGGGACGAGAAAATCCTGAAGTGGGATAACTCTCTCAAATTTTGAAGCCAGGCAGTTTTTATGTAAAAAGCTTGATACAATTCGCCTGAGCCCGGCTCCAGTCCAAACATAACTGTCCAAACCCAACAAGCTCACGCACCTCAAACTCGAACTCGATGGACAATAAATCGCCATTTAGAGTCTTGGAAAACTGGCTTGGAGGCACCACCCCCTCCTCAAACCAGCCGCCTTTACTGCTGGTGAGTGTAGGTCAGTCCAAACAGAAGGCGGCAAAAAAATGGGGTCAGGTCAGGCAGGGATTTCCAGAGTCTACGGTAACTGCAAAACTGCCCATGTAGACTACTGATTGGTGGAAAATGGCTGTCATTGGGCAGACATGCGTTTTCTAAAGTTTGCTTGGGCAGACAGGCTTGGGTCGAATCTCACGTTGAGTACCCCGATTGCGTCGATGGCTGACTCGCTGAGACGACGCCAAACCGGATTCCCTTTTGGCCAACCATCTATCTAGAGACAGGTTGAGAGTTATCAAATTATCTTATGACACGGGGGGGGGGGGAAGAAAAGAAACAAACAATAATAGATCAAGTAAACGGAAGAAAATCCAGGCCTCTATACTGTAAAGACAGACAAACGATTTTATGTTATCTATGAGATAAAATCATACCCGCCGTCACGGGGATTGATAAATGCACTCGCTGCCCATCTAAATACGCTCCTCAAAAATACACTTATTCTAAATCAAACATAGCGTATGCGCAGCTGTTGCACCCAAAATAACTAGCGTTCCAATGTAGTCAGGATGTGCCCAACCTCCCTAACTGCCAACTCTGAGTGCCCAAAACCCCCAGGGGGGGATTTTGAATGGATGAAGAAGAGGATCACTAAAATAGCAACAGAGAACATTTCAATTCTATCCCAATTTATGGGGAAAAAAATACTTGTAAATTTTTCTATTCTCATGATTGTCATTTTACTACTGTCTAATCAGCTCATTTAACTATTTGACATAGTAAGGCCTTCACAATTCAATCTTAATATTTTTATCAAATAAAAAAAGGTGTTTTTTAACGTCATCTTGCAGTATTCAGGGCTGAGTGATGAGGAATTGACCAAATAATGAGTCAGTTCTTTCTTTATAACAGTTAATATGAAGAGGTTGAGTATGAAAAACCACTGAATAAAGATCTTGTGACATCTGCAGAGATGCTCACAAAGATGTCCACAGAGTTACCTGTAGCAGAGTACTGCAGCAGTCTGACAGCAGAGAATAATTCTTCAGAAAACACTAGTCACACTGGTGTTGAAATTCATATATTCTGTCACAATAAACAAATAAATAGCGGATTGACTATGTTAACATAGAATGCAGAGAGAGTATTTGAATATATGATTGTTAGTTAGCTTCAACACTCAGTCAGCAGGGAATCAACAGCACCTTGTATGCTATCACTCAGAGCTGTTCTGTTCCCTTATACTGTGTCAACAAGCTTGTGATACTTCACAGTCACTCCTGTCGCTGCTGAGCAGCATATGGTACCCGACAAAACCCATGTCCATAGCAAATGGACAAATCCCATCTGAATGAAATGTCGTCTCTGTCTGGGCTGCTGGCCTTTCTGCACGGGAATTCCTCTCCTTTCTCAGCTCTGATAGATAGATAATACATGCCTCCTTTGCTTCGTTTTTCGTTTTCGATTCGCCTATATCGACAGGATTTCTCAGCGTCCTATCCTATGAATGTGTTATCATCTCAACGATATAGATCGTCCTTTTGTCCGAGAACACCACAGAACTCGTGAATAACCCAATTCACAGATAAACACGAGTCCTTTCTGAGAGGACCCAGTGTGTCTTACTTCAAATCATCTATTATTTCTACACCACAGTCAAATGCCCATGCACTGCTCTTCACCTGGGGCCGGGTCCACCCATCGATCCCCGATCGAATAGGAACTATCCATGTGTTTCCACTCTCGTAGGCCTTTCCCACTGCTCGTTTTTTGTTTCCTTTTCTAGAAACCTGCATTTTAATGTGGAGCTGCTGTCTCCGTTCCCAAGATGTTTTGCATCAAGCTGATGTTTCCAAGCTAATCTCTTTTGAAACTCAAATCCCCAACAGAAGGGGAATGGGCCGTGGACGAGGTAGTAAGCCAATGGCCAAAAAACTATCATCCAGTCATGTAGAAGCAGACCATGCAGCATTTTATGCTCTGCCCTCTACCCGACAGAGAATGTCACAATTTTAAAATTCGTCAGCGGGGGATGAGTTTGAACATCAGCCCGCTAAAATCCGTCAGCTTTCTCTGCAGCACAACCTCCTCCTTCAACAGAGCCACCGCCCCACCGCCACTCCCCTCTGTCGCTTGAGTTATACCCAGCATACGTTGGCCACACGTCAACCTTCTGCCCTTACAGGCTTCTTCATCGCAACCACCCAATTCAATTGATCGTGCCTTCATTGGCCCCAAAAACAACTGCACAGGTCACAGGTTGCAGGCACTTGGTTTTCGCAAGCAGATTCCGACAGCTTTTGGAAGGACAGATGTCGCATTTGATGCCCCGCCTTTGAATCAGGATGTCTCATTGGGGCCTTCAAGGGAGCGGGATTCAATGAAAAATGTCTCGGTCCAGCATGACTTCCATGCTATCCACCAGGTGGGCAATATCTTTTCAAAATGATTTCACCGGTCGCCCCTCTCCGCAATTCTACACTGCCATTGCAATTCGAATTGAAATGGCTCGTATTAATGATCCAAAGAGACCATTCATATCATATCATGCATGTTTAACTTAACCTGAATATCCGCCACCAACGGCCCATCTGTCCTACCTCCTCTCACTCCCTCCAATCCACCAATAGATGCCGCTGTCTCCAAACTTCAAAACACTCCTGAATATGTGCCATGCCATCCGGCCTATTCATAATCATTTCCTTTATCCAAAACTCAGGCCGCTTGAACCGTCACGGTGCTTCGTGAAGTTGTCGTGCCGTGATTACCCAATCGGGCATAGTTAATTGCCAGGCGCGGATGGAGGCAGCCAAGCGTCCATTCTCCAGTTTTGAAAAGGCGGCTTGAGCCGATTTGCAGTCCGTGTCTGAGTCTCAAGCTCTGAGTGTCTTGCAGTCAGTGGTCGACGCGAAAGGCGTATCAAGTTTTGCTCAGGATTAGGCAAGTGCCGTAGTAGATGTCTTTTCCAATTGAGAGGACTGAGCTGCAGAAGCATTGAACGCTTAGAGCATGGAAGATCTGCTTTGGGCATAAATGTTTTGATTGAAGTTTTGAGGATGTGTTTTACTGGCCTTTTTTTTTTTTTTTTTTTTTTTTTTTTTTTTTTTTTGAATATACTTCTTGCTCCTGCCCCATGCCGTCTCTTTTGCTTTTTAGGAATGAATTGCGTACGCATTAATCATATTCGATACCACGGAGAGAAGGATGCTTGGACGCAACGACGAAGAAAAGCAAGTAGATAACTAATAAAAATGCTCGAAGAATATGCAAAGACCACCAAGCCCTGTTAACCATCCTTGCCAACCATTCATCATTTCATCCCTATGCAACTGAGCAATAGATAAAAATATCGAGACAACACTCACCAAACGACTGCCTTGCCTATATTGAGTGTTCAGACTGGAGCAGCACCAACTCGTACGCCGCCATTTTTGCCTTCTCCTTGAATCCCTTGTCTTTCAAAAACCATTCCTTGTTTTCCTACATGTCCTCCTTTCACCGTCGATGGTCGGTTGCTTTGCCGATCGAAGCTGAAATATTTCATGCCAAAGATGAGCGTAGAGGCATATATCAGGTTTGCTAAACAAGATCGAGGTGGAAAGTGCTGCAACTGCATATCCTCTCACACAGGGTCGAGAGATCTCTGCTGCTAATAGATATTTTAACTAATTTCTTTCTCTTTCCCCTTGCTCTTATGCCTCGTTGAATATTGGAACATTGCCGCCCAAGTGAGTTTGCACGCCAGGTGCGTCTATAGGATTGATGTTATTCTTTTCCTTTCCCCCCGCTGATGCTTCATACCGCTCACAGTGGAGGATTATGGGAAGAGGACAAGATGTGATTGATTGTCGAGCGGAGAAGAGTTTGACCTCATGATTTTAACCATAGCTCACTTGGTGGACTTATCAGGCAGTTAATTGGCACCTGGTCTTCTTTGAACTAACAATGGATTTAACTGTCCTTTTGTAGTTTCTTCCATATGTGTAATAGGGATTTTCATTGAGGTAAACGAACAGCCAGCCAGCTACAGCTCACGGAGTCACAGGGAGAGCGGACTGTTTTGGCTAGTCTACATACGCCAGCAGACATGTTTTGATCCCGCTGCGGATGCAAATCGACTTTAGGCGCGAGAGCTACCTGGTATCTACTGAGTTAGTTGAATGTCCACAATTTTCTGTAGCTTAGGGGGTGTTCCGTGAGGATGAGGGGCAAAGAAACATGCCACTTTTCTAACCCCGCTTTTTGTATGAATAGAGAAACTACCTTAAGGTATTAGGATCTTGTAGTTATCTGACTTTTCCCTGATTAATTGAAAAGCAAAATATCGATTATTTATTTGAGGTAAATTAGACAAATGCCATCTCAGGTGAAATACTGAAGGGTTGTTTTGACATTAAACATGTTGACCGAGAAGTTAGGCATATTGAATAACGGTCGATAAATATTTAAATGGCGCGGGTAAAGTTCACTCGCCTTCAGTCGATTGCCAAACCTCATAAACTACCACTTAGTCACGCCTCACCCAAGCACGCACACTTCACATTTTTAACTACACATGGTAGCTCCTCTCACACGATTCAGAAGAGACTTCCCAGAAGTAAAATAGAGGCTACAAAACATCACGAAGACAATATCTGTCCCTCATGATGCTCACCCCTCCCATCACCCCGCCCAGCAACCCCATCTGCATCCTCAACCCACCATCGCACCCACGATGTCCCTTCCCCAATCCGCGGCCTCCCATTTCACCCGGCGCCACCTGACCCTTCTTCGGTCCAACTCCCCACGCACTCCGCTCCGCGTCGTCGCCCACATTGACCTGGACGCCTTCTACGCGCAATGCGAAATGGTCCGCCTTAACACGCCGCTCACCCAACCACTAGCCGTCCAGCAATGGGAATCCCTCATCGCAGTCAACTATCCCGCGCGCGCGTTCAACATCACACGTATGCTGACGGCGGCAGAGGCGCGCAAGCGCTGTCCGCAGCTCATCACGCAGCATGTCGCGACGTTTCGGGAAGGGGAGGGTGAACAGTGGAAATATAGGGATGATGCGGCGGAGTGTATAGCAACAGATAAGGTATCGTTGGAACCGTATCGGATGGAAAGTAGGAAGATTCTGGAGGTTATCAAGGCTGTTCTGACGGAGTGGGCGGAGAGGGTCATGAGGGATGTAGGTGTTGAGGGTGCCAAGGGGCCGGGAACTGAGCAGCTGGTGAGGGTTGAGAAGGCAGGGATCGATGAAGTTTTTGTTGATTTGTCGGCGTTGGTGTATGAGACGTTGTTGGAGTGGTATCCCATGCTGCGGGAGGGGGAGGTGGAGCTAGATGTGAATGAGAGGCTACCTGGTCCTCCGACTACAGTGTTGGAATGGGGTAAAGAGGATATGTTGGTTGATTTGGATGTTGGTGAGGCGGAGGAAGATGACCCTGACTGGGATGATATGTGTATGCTTGTGGGAGCGGATATTGTCCGCTCTGTGCGTGCGGCCATCTGGGAGAGGTTGAAATATACCTGCTCAGCTGGGATTGCGAGAAATAAGATGATGGCAAAATTGGGAAGCTCGTGCAATAAACCGAACAAGCAGACTATTGTGCGCAATAGAGCTATTCAGCACTTTCTGAGTGGATTTCGGTTTACGCAGATTAGGATGCTGGGGGGGAAGCTGGGGAAACAGGTTTCCGCTACCTTTGGCACGGAGGAGGTTGGCGATCTATTAAGAATCCCCATCGAGCAATTGAAGTTAAAACTAGGTGATGATACGGGCACATGGCTATATGAGATTATCAGGGGTTATGAGTATAGTGAGGTTAGTACGCGGACGAAAATTAAGTCCATGCTCTCAACCAAGTCATTTCGGCCTAGTATCAAGTCATCGGGACAGGCAGAGAAGTGGCTACGAATTTTTGTCGCGGATATTTATGGCAGGCTGTTGGAAGAAGGGGTTTTAGAAAATAAACGTCGGCCCAAGGTTGTCACCATACACCATCGGACCAAGGGGCAGACGAGGTCTCGTCAGATTCCGATTCCGCCTGGGAGACCGATGAGCGATACGATGTTGTTTGACCTTGCTAAGACGCTGCTGGCCCAGGTTGTGAATGAGGGCAATATTTGGCCGTGTGCGAATTTGTCCCTAAACGTCAGCGGATTTGAAGATGGGCTTACGGGCAATCGAAGCTTGGATTCCTTTTTTGGTCGCGGGGATGGCGGCGCGACAATGGCAGCTGCTGCTATACAGCAACAAAAGCAGAGTGGTAGTGCCCAACGGGAATACATGCATGGCTCCGAACCACATAAGAGGAGAAAAGTGTCGGATAATGATCGTGATGAAGATGATCACGTTAACGATGACCTTAGCACCCGATCCTCTGACCATGCAAATGAAGACGAAGAAGAATCTCTCTTCCTCCAAGAACCTGACCTTCATCATCCCTCGCATCTTACATCTACAACAGCAGCTACACCTCCACTGAACGAAAATGCCATCGTCACACAACACAACGACTGGACCACTATTGATTTACAGGAACTATCTTTCCCCTGCACCCGTTGCGGCAAGACGATAATGGAATATGACAAAATCGAGCATGAAGACTGGCATTTCGCTAAGGATTTAGATGAACAGGATAGACTGCATCATTCGACAACTATCCCCCCCACCTTACGGCATAGAGGTAATTTGAGGAGCAGAGGTCGCGGTCGCGGTCGCGGGAAGACCGATAAGCGACAAAGTCGACTCGCGTTTTGAAGGCTTTATCGCTCTTTGCATTTTTTATTGGGAGGTTGGACTTGGTTGTTTTATTTTTATTTTCATCAGCTGCTTTACTTGGGAACACTGCGTGGAACTACATCCAGCAGGCTTTTGGCTCTTTGGGCGGTTTGCTTGTCTGTCAATAACGGTTTTCTGGGGTAAGGGTGGAGTATTGGACAGCTATGGTTTGACGCTACCAGAGATAAATCCCTTTTTATTTTTTATTTTATTTTATTTTTTTGGTGTCATCTCGTTTGAATAGTAGCAATGATATATTGTTTGCTCCGTAGACTCACACCATTCATTCTGCGTTGAATTGATAAATTTCTACCAATCTTTCTTTCTTGAACACTCGACTTGTGACATAAACTCTCTTGCACACCCCCCACACGCAACCATGGATCTGCTGACGGCAGCTATCCACGCCAAACTCTTTGCCGTAGTTAGTTAATGTATACATCTTCCCCATTAAATCGACTTGCACGGGATATATTCGATTAACAAATAGTAGATTTCCAAGTAAAAGTTTTTGCTTACCTCTCCCGTGTGGTTTATATTTGCGGTATTAACGAAGTAAAGCCTCTTCACATTATTCCAGACGTTTCTTCAAATTCCTTGAATTTTCTCCTCTGTTTTAACTAATTCACCAAGCAATGACATCATCTCATCTTTCACTTGACCTGGCAAGGTTTGGACTACTGCGAAACAGATTGATGCCAGTATTAATTAACACCCCTTCTCCCTCTCACCTATTTCCCCCCCTTTCATAGCCGTATTCACTTTTCATTCATCCCTGTTGTGCTGTTTTTGGCTTTAACCCCTAAAGTGGTGTGGTTTCCTGTTCCAAAACCCCCCCCCTCTTTTTTTTTTTTTTTTTTTTTTTTTTTTTTTTGTTGATCTTTTTTCAGAAATTCTCAACAGGATTTTAACTAGTAAACTGGATCCATGACTTCATTCTGTTGTTGAATTCAAAATATCGGTATTATTTCAAATCTGAAAATTACTTCACAATTGCTAATGAAGTTGTTTACATTTTTTGGCCCTTGTCCTTACTGGCATTGTTGACAGCATTGGTAGCAACATTTACCCTTTTCCATCATGCCAAGTCGCGCTGCAGGGACCGACCTCTACGAAAGGGATACCTTCCACCGCGACCGCTACGACCGCCATGGTAACTACGATCATATCTACGAGGAGGACATCGACGAACGTAAGCATTGTCGGCGGCCTCTCGCTCCTGATCCCCCTGATGTTCGAGATATAGAGAGGATTCGTGAACGGCGTCATTCTCCAGAAGTAATCCTTCGAGAATCACACAGGCGTAGCTCCAGTGCTGGTCCACTGGCCAGGCGGCCTCGGGTCAGAGATGGTAATTATGAGTTTGAGCACGAGCATGAACATGAACGCGGCAGGGCTGGGATTTATCCCTCCCATCTACAACGATCGAGAGTAGTTGAAAGACGATTCTCTCCCGCACTACCACCTAGAGAGGTTAAGCGTGATGAATTGGTAGTGAGGAGGAGGGAGCGATCTAAGCCACCACACCGTGTGGTAAATTTTGAAACAAATGAGCATGTTGTCAGAGGAGAGAGCGATTCTTGGTCTGATAAGCAATCTGACAAGGGATATGATAGGGAATGGGAAAGGAAAAAAGGTGGGAGTGAACACGATTATCGCAGGGGTTCATATGTGCGGGAAAGACCAAACGCACGAGGAGATAGAGAGGAGATTATCGTTCTCAGGGATGAGCGGGAACGGAGTCGTGGTCGCGGGAAGGATGAGATTAAGAGAGACGAAGTTATCATTAGGAGAAGGGAACAAAGTTCGTCTTCTTCTTCGGAGTCGTCTTTCAATAGTCCCCTTGAACCGCCTCCTATTCGAGCCCCTCCTATTCACCAGGATGTAATTACTCATCATCGACATGTTGATCACGGTGGGAAAACCTAAATAATATACTTTGTCGTAGAGTGATGGGAAATTAACGGTTTCTCAGGATACGGGGTTGTTCATCCACGCCCACCTCCTTCAGAGACAAGCTCACGGCATGCTGATGATGAAATTGAAATTTGGAGGTCGTATGTTTGAAAACCCACTTAAATTGGTATTACGGATTCAATACTGACTTTTTTGTTAGGCGGGAACGCAACGGTCGTAGATACGACAACCAAGTCGCCATCGACCGTGAATCAAGTCGTCGAAAGGAGCGAGCAAAATTCGTTCATTCGTTTTCTCCACCCCGACGACGGGCGAGTCCCCGTCACTACGAGGATAGAGATGAATCAGAACTAATCGTCTCACATAGGACATCTAGCGGTCGTGGTCTGGACAGAACACGGCATCATGATCTCGTGGTAATGCACGAGCGGGAAAGTGGCATCCAAGATCGTCGAGAAGCTGCTAACATCCGCGAGGGAAGCAGAATACTACAATCGTCTTGCTAAGAAAAAAAGTCATATTGGCGAGGCGTACAAAGGTGCAACGAAAGATTGGTCGATTATAGATGTTCCACCCGGAACTAAACGGGTGGAGATGGAAGGTGTCGGCG